AAAGGTATGAACTATTTTAGACTCGAAAAGAACAAGTTGATACGGTCTTATTACAAAATGTCAGAAGATTCAACCCTTTTAACTTCAACAAGAATCTTAGATACTTAAGCATCAGCTTCCATTTACAAAGTTCTTGTCAAAGTGGCACAACTATATTTGGCTACCATCCAGCAAATCTCTGCATTAACTAAAGCTGGAATGCATCGAGTAAATGCCTTTTCATGAGATCCTGAGACAAACTGATAAGTTATTTCATATCGTGTAATCCATAAAACTTCTCGCCCAGAGCCTTTTGGTTCTGGAGTTTCTTCTTCTTGCGCTTTCAACACTCAGGACTTCTTTACAGCCCAGACAGCTTTGGAGACTGCTAAGCCAGCAGCACCATTGTTACCAGAGACCTGTTCTCCTGAACAGAAACTTTCACATTCCTAATCTTCGAGCTGGTTATCTCTTTCTCAGAGGAAACTGTTTCTGTCTCTCTCTCTCCCCCTGCGGCACAGAACATCCTGTTGCTCACCAAGAACCCATATTGTTTTCCTGCTTTAATTTCCAAGATACTAACCTTCAGGGTTTTAAAAGCCCTCATTTAAAAGCATGTAAATAGATTCCAGAAACGCTTTCACCATATGCAGAATTCAAAAATTAAAGTAATTTTTCCTCTTCTTATCCCACACAATATTAAATACTCAAACTTCAAGTGTACATGATAATAAAACAAAAAGTTTGACAAAGGGTCACAACTTAAAACATTAACTCTGTTTTCTCTCCACAGATGCAGTCGGAGCTGCTGAGTTTCTCCATCACTTGGTTTTTGTTCAAATATACATGGTTTTGTACACTTTAGGACTCTAGTTTCCAAATAATAACAATAAATCACTAATATTTAACACAAATCAATGACCCAAACAATCCTGCACTATAAAGATCTGTTGAAACATGCATAGCTGCAACCAGTTACAATGACTTTTTTCCACTCCCATTATTGGGTTGGGAGTGTTTTGGCAATACACTTACTGACCATCCCTAATTACCCTTGAAAAAGTGGGGAGCTGCCACATTAAAATGCTGCAGTCCATGTCATGGAGGTAGACACTCGGTGCTATAAAGGGAGGGAATCTACAAATGCAAAAACGCCTTACTTCAAACAGGATGCGTCTTTTGGGAAAGTTTAGGATTGCATCCAAAACTGCAAAAGGGCCTGGGCTCCACAATAAAATTACCTTTGGACAAGAATGTGGTATTAACAGAGAAGGTAACATAATTCAATTTGTATCTGTTCAAGGCTCTTACCAGTTTCTTCCTAGGCCCAGATTCCATGTAGTATGCATATGGATATGTATACTGTAAAGTGTACCGACACTATAGGAAGGAAAACAAAGAAGGAAGTTATTGCAGAAGATGCATATTTTACTTGAACTTAAGAAAAATTATGCTTTTTGAGTGGTGGAAAATAATGGAGAAAGAGAAATTACGATTTTGCTCCCAGTACAATCCAGATAGTTGCTCAAATTAGGGGACAAACAAGTTTTATTGTTGGCAGGACTGGTGCTAGACGGACACAAAATAAACCAAAATAAATATATCTAAGAGAAAATGGGGATGGTTGTTAAATCTATACATCCCAAAAGATGGAACAGTCCCATTTGTCACCAAATCACACCATCCAAAGATTATTTAAATGACTGATGACTTTGCAGTTCTTTTCTCTAGAAAAAAGATGGAGGAGTGACTTGAACTGACCTGACAAAGGGAGAATTTAATAACAAACACAGTGAAGATATTTTCCTTACTGGCAACATTAGAATTAGGGGCATAATTATCTTCTCACTAATTAACTCCACAAGAAATTCAGGAGTAACATTTCAATCCAGAGAGTGGTGAGAATGTGGAATCTGCTTACTCTCAAAAGTAGTTTAGGCAACTAGAACATTCAGATTAAAAATGGATATGATAAAATACAGGGTCAAGAAAGGAATGTATACATATATGATGGGATTAAAGAAAGAGGAGAGGCAGGAGGCTCTTCTAGTGCACTGAGGTGGGTATAGCCTGTCGGCCCCACAGTGTTTCTGTGCAAATACTTCACACCATTATATTTTTTCCTTCCATCAACACTTCACTAACCACTCAATGCAAAAACAGTTTGCAAAATTCAAGGATCTTTAATCAATTAGAAAGTTTTAATTGATTAATACGTAAATCCCCAAATGCCTTTCAAGTCACTGTCCTGAGAGAACCAAAGGCTTTAACAATGTAAAGAAGAGGTGAAATTTTAGGTCAGACAATACATGTTAGGTGTGAGGTCTTGTTTAGAATCTGTGTGTGTTTTGGTTTGTAGCCAGATTGGTTTTATTTCTAAAGTAGGAATTTATAAAATACCACATTGACTAACAGTCTATAAATTGTGTGCTTTTTGAACAAAATAGAATATATCTGCAAATACAAATTCACCCCATAGATTCACATGTGTGCGCGCAGGTGCGCAGGAAAAGAGAGCGTGTGTGAGGGAGACAGAGGTCAAGGACATTCATTCTTGGATGTTCGGGTAAACGTCCTCTGGGACACACGACAACGCGGAGTTGCCGAGGAGAGGCTGATAGCCAAGTTCATAGAACATAGAACATTACAGCGCAGTACAGGCCCTTCGGCCCTCAATGTTGCGCCGACCTGTGAAACCAATCTGAAGCCCATCTAACCTACACTATTCCATTATCATCCATATGTTTATCCAATGACCGTTTAAATGCCCTTAAAGTTGGCGAGTCTACTACTGTTGCAGGCAGGGCATTCCATGCCCGTACTACTCTCTGAGTAAAGAGCCTACCTCTGACATCTGTCCTATATCTATCACCCCTCAATTTAAAGCTATGTCCCCTCGTGCTAGCCATCACCATCCGAGGAAAAAGGCTCTCACTGTCCACCCTATCTAACGCTCGAATCATCTTGTATGTCTCTATTAGGTACCCCAGTCTGACTGCAAACCAAAACACAAACAGATTCTAAACAAGGCCTTGCACCTAACATGCATTGTCTGACCTAACGTCACCTCTTCTTTATACTAGAGATAACAAGGTGTAGAGCTGAATGAACACAGCAGGCCAAGCAGCATCAGAGGAGCAGGAAAGCTGGCGTTTCGGGCCGAGACCCTTCTTCAGAAATGGGGGAGGGGAAGGGGGTTCTGAAATAAATAGGGAGAGAGGAGAAGATAGGTGGAGAGGAGACAGACAGGTCAAAGAGGTGGGGATGGAGCCAGTAAAGGTGAGTGTAGGTGGGGAGTTAGGGAGGGGATAGGTCAGTCCAGGGAGGACGGACAGGTCAAGGAGGCGGGATGAGGCTAGTAGGTAGGAGATGGGGGTGGGGCTTGAGGTGGGAGGAGGGGATAGGTTAGGGAGGCGGGTACGAGCTGGGCTGGCTCTGGGATGCGGTCGGGGGAGGGGAGATTTTGAAGCTTGTGAAGTCCACATTGATACCATTGGGCTGCAGGGCTCCCAAGTGGAATGAGGTGCTGTTCCTGCAACCTTCGGGTGGCATCATTGTGGCACTGCAGGAGGCCCAGGATGGACATGTCGTCCTGAGGAATGGGAGGGGGAGTTGAAATGGTTCGCGACTGGGAGGTGCAGTTGTTTAGTGCGAACCGAGCGTAGGTGTTCCGCAAAGTGGTCCCCAAGCCTCCGCTTGGTTTCCCCGATGTAGAGGAGGCCACAACAGGAACAGCGGATACAGTATACCACGTTAGCAGATGTGCAGGTGAACATCTGCTTGATGCGGAAAGTCTTCTTGGGGCCTGGGATGGGGGTGAGCAGGGAGGTGTAGGGGCAGGTACAGCACTTCCTGCGGTTGCAGGGAAAAGTGCCGGGGGTGGTGGGGCTGGAGGGGAGTGTGGAGTGGACAAGGGCGTCCCGGAGAGAGTGGTCCCTCCGGAAAGCAGATAAGGGTGGGGAGGGAAAAATGTCTTTAGTGGTGGGGTCGGATTGCAGATGGAAGTGTCGGAGGATGATGCGTTGGATCCGGAGGGTCCTACTATCTCTTCTTTATACTGATAGTTCTCTCCAGACAGTGACTTGAAAGGTATTTGGGGATTTACACATAGATATTAATCAATTAAAACCTTCTAACTGATTAAAGGCTTAACAGCATCTTAGGTTTGTTTAGTACATCCTCATCAGTGGTGTGACCCTTTGATCTTTTACTTATAAGTTTGATACCACCTCTCTCACTAACACCTGGAGGAGAAGTAAGGCTTCAAAAGCTTGTGTTTTCAAATAAACTTGGACGATAACCTGGTGTCGTGTTGATTTCTGACCTTATCCACCCCAGTCCAACACTGGCACCTCCACTTCATTATTTAAAAGTAGAGAGTAAGGCTTCCTCTAGGTACAATTCAATGAAGGTCAGATGCTGTTAAAGCAAGCTCAAACTCTGACAAAAAGTTTAGCCTGTGCCTATTTTAAGGTCAATTGCCTTACTTAGCCCAGTTGTTCTTTATTAATGACTAATGGAACTGGATTTAATCCAGCATTCTACACAAGGTAAGTTTCTGATGCATGGGGAAACCAGAGACATTTGGCACAGTGAGGGCAGACTGCAAAAGAATTCGACTCTAAAGCTACTGATGAGACACCTCTCAAAGACTGTTGCAAAGGCACTCTGGAAATTCTAAATCCACTCATCTCGTCAGATACGATACTGCAGGAATAAATTCAAAGGACACAATTAAAAAAAGCTGTATTCTCAATAGATAGTTTTCTGCCATTCTTTTGCAGCAGATTAACTTCAATTTGCTAGAATTCTAGTGTGAGAAAAGTTTTATAAAGAGAGTAAAAAAATCTATAATGGTTATTGACATTACAGATGGTTAGTTGTACTTCAAGGGTGTTACAGATGCAAAAGTAATGGAAAGAGAAAGAAATCACACTTCTAGTAATCTTCTGTTGTGCTTCCTTAATCTCATGGAACATCTGAGAATTTACAAAAGCCTGTCAATTCATCTAGAAATTGAAGAACCAACCTTAAACAATCATAGATAGTAGGAACTGCAGATGCTGGAGAATCCGAGACAACAAGGTGCAGGGCTGGATGAACACAGCAGGCCAAGCAGCA